CCTTCATTAATTTGTAGAGTCAATCACAGAAACTGCGCAACCACAGTGGCAGCACAGATAAATAAGCTAGTCAACTTCGTCAATCGGTCACGCACGTATATTTTATAACCCTCCCGCAGCCAGATCAAATCAAATCAAAGCCGTAAAAGCTCGTAAACACAATGAAAAAAACCGATCCACAACTTTCGATATCGTTCTGTTACGTCAGCAAGCGTGCACGTTCTTTTCCAATCTAGCAAAAGCTATATACAGCAAAAGCTTCAAGATGACGAGACTAGACCAACAACACAGTCATATCACCTTATACATAGAAGAACTAGAAAAGCCGGGATCTTTGAATAAACATCGGTGCTCATTGCGCCCCATGCACCACTGAGGCAATCTTGGGAAACCAAAGTTCTGCTAAGAGAGAAAAAGAGAGAGAGAGAGAGAGAGAGAGAGAGAGAGAAGAAGACATCAGCTGCAGCAAAAGCCAAGCTATACCGCACCAGCAAGTACTTTCACCCTGGGGAGTTTGCCTCGGTCAAACAAGCGTCTATATAACCGCTCGTTCTCGCTCGCTCCAAGATAGAACCTTTTTTTGCAAAGAAGCGGTTTTTATCGACCAGGAAAATTCAGGAATTAAATTTTTGTTTATGAATTTTTATGGAATTTTCTATAGTCGGGATTTCTTGGAAAATAGCAGAAGCGTTTGGGTTTTCGAAATATTTGTTTTTTCCAAATTGATTCACCATTTATTTCAAACCAAAATTAAGACAGATGTGACAAGTTTACTTGTTAATAAAATTTTAATTAATTTTATACTGTAGAAATAAAGTTAAATATAAAAGTAATTTGGCTCCATTGGTCGTATTGGTCAATACCCACACGTTTCAAAGTTTGTAATATTCAATTTACATTCAATGATTTCGAATAAAATATCTTCTATGTAGTTTGAGGTGAAATTCTATCGAGACTAGTGTAGATGAGAATAAGCTTGGTATACCTTAAAGAGACGAGCTTTGTAGTATCGATCGTGTCTAGCGGCATACGGTTAGTAACTGTGACATTTGTGATGCTTCGAGTTCAACTCCGGTTAAGTTCAATAGTAGACAAAAGGCAGCGCTTACGATTTCCTCCTCAGTTTGAATTGTCGTATTTCAACTGTACATGAAACCAACAATAATTTCTCAAATTTATGAAGCATTTTTGTTGCATCGTATCAGCATGATGAATATCGAACAATGGCATAAAAATGGTTTGGAATTTCGAAATGATAATGAGCGATTTATCATGAAAATTAAAAATCGGTAAACAATCATTCTCGTCGCATTTTATTGAATCCACCAATCACGTCTGCCATTACGTCGAAAAATAATTACACCTCATAATTTCATCCTATACGTTTGCACAACCTCCCAGCTCCAACCCTCTCTCTTTCACGCGCGCACATGCATATACATACGTGTACAAGTATTCGCTCGATCGAACTCGCGTGCTGTCGGAGTATGCAATACATATGCACAAGAACTACAAATACATTATCTATACATATATACACATGTATAACATTATACTGCATGCGCGCGAGAGACATTCAAAAAATTGTAAGATTAGGGAAAAGGAGCTGTGTGATGCCGAAAAAAAGGATGAAAGAGAGAAAAATACTTGGATGGAAAAAGAGAGATAGGAGCAAAGGACTAAAAAGGCAATCGAGGCAATTGCTACTGAAGGAGTGTTTAGTTTCCCCTAATTTTCCCGTTACCCATATTCCTTTTATGTATTCGAATAAGTAGATTCTGGTTCGTCATGTCTTTCTAAAAAAACGAATAAGTATTATATACTTTCATACTATTGTGTGTAATCTCCACTCATTTTTTTAGCTGCAATAGCGCGTGGGTGTGAAAATGAAAAGTCGTGAGATGCGGTAAGGCTGACAGAGATAACTCTGACTATATTTTTTTGTAGAGAGCTTTAATATTTTTTTTAAATTAGGGCTCATGATTCAAAGGAAATCAATTTGATATCGAATGATACTTTACAAGGCATTTTCATTTGAATTGAAAATTTTTTTTAAGTAGTACAATAAATTTAAAAGCGCGTATTAACCAATAGTGTTGAATATAACATATCAGGAATAGCCCTATACTACTGCCAAAAAAGATACATTTTATAAAATTGGACTCAAGATGTGATGGATAGATAATTGAGTAATATGAGTCTAGTAACAAATTAAGAATAATGAAAAATATTCAAGTGGCCTTAAAAAATTTTTTTCCATTGGTAACAATACCCAACTCGAAATCTTTGTTGACATTTTTTATTACAAAATAAGATTTAATTCAGTAATTACAAATATGCTCGATTACAGTTTTATTTGTATAAAAAAAGTTCACTTGATACAGCTATACATACAATTATAGAAACAAAATATTGTTTTATTTAGTAATACGTTTTTTAGCTTGGATTAAAAAAAAAATTTACACTAATAGAAAAGAAATGTAAGTGATATTACTAATTTTTTTCTCATACTAACAAACACAATTTTTACACATAAATGTAAATCATTAAAATACTTATAAACGAGTTTGAATTTGGAAATCGTAACAATAAAGAGCGAATTTACTAATGTTTCAAAATTAGGTTTAAACTTTCTTAGTTAAGCATTTTCCTAATGTCAAAAAGAAAATATTAAGTACCTTAGCGTCTCTTAAACATGAGAAATAAATTATGAGACTATTAAAACGATAAAACGGCTGACAGAACTAAAGGAGCATCTTTTTTAAAAGCAAAAAAATTTTTAATTAAATGTTTTATTTGAGATTTGCATTGAAGTTCGTTGAAAAGCAAAATAGCTATATATACATTTTTTGTTTTAATATGATTTACAGTGCAATAGAAATTTGGTTTTCTATCTTCATGAATTTTTCTGAACTGTGTCATGTTATAGTGTTAGTTCGTATCGACTTTACTTATAATAATATTAAGATAATAATATTAATAATAA